TTCGATGCTAACGCCCCGCATATCTGCCTTTTCAAATAATTTATCAATTTCTTGCTCTGTCATACTATCTCCTTCATCTGCTAGGTTGGAGGCTGGACAGCTGTACAGCAGACCAATCTCGCGTAAATTGTCAGAATCCATCCAGGACTCTATATCTGCTATGCTCCACGACTGCGTCACGATCTTCCGTAATGGATGCTTGCGGGGAAGGGGATGAAATTGAGGTTTGAACGCACGGTCAAGAACTAGTTCCTCAAGTCGAGGGAACTCAGTCCATTGAGGAAAGGTAGGGTAGGACACTCTGGACATGGAGTCGACTTTGATGAAGATGGAGCGAAGACTCTTGCGGTATGAGAGTAGGAGGTTTCGTAATGGAAAGTCCTGAGATTGCATGTAGCATATCACAGCCAGGTGTTCTAGAGAGAGAAAAAGAAAGATTATTGGATCTGTCTGTAAAACTTGGAGGGCCTTTTCTGTGGAACGGAGGCACCTTTACGTCTGCTCAAGTGAGCTACAGCGCGCCGACGAGAGCACAGGCCCAAGTAAGGACGATCTCAGAAAAGCGTACCGAGCTCACCTCAAAGGTTCTCTTATCGAACTTATACCTGTACTTATGCAAGGTATGGAGTGTCGCATTCTTGTGATCGAGGAAGATGTGGCCTTAAACCTGGGCCAGGTTCCATTTCCACATCTGGAGCGTCTTATTATGGAGAAGTCTACAGTATCCCTATATGATTCGAATCATTTTCTGGACGTTTTACTGTCGTTTAAGAGTATCACATGGCTCGAGTATGATATACAGCCGCAAAAAACCGAGCCTCGTACCATCCAGAAGGACAGAACACCCATCTTATTGTCTAATCTCAAGGTACTCATCTACTCTGAGTACCGATTCTTCTCCTTTCCATCTGCACACCTGGTTCTCCCGTCGCTCCACCACCTATGTGTGAAAGTTTTTAGGACAATTTCTCAGCAATTTTTCACCAATCTCCTCCTTCCCTACAGCAAAAGTATTAAATCCTTTTCTCTTGAGATCTTCTTCCTAGTTATAATTCCCTCTCCTTTAAATTTTTTACCTTGGGATGTGCTTCCTCACCTTCGTGAACTATCATTGGACAGACGGACACTCTTCGACTTTCACCCGTTGCCTCGCTTTCATCCGTTGAAGCGACTCTTTGTGCAACAATGGGATGTCGCCAAAATTTCCTCTTGGTTGG